AACCAAAGGCTTTCTGCATACCTGAGAAAGGGAATAAAAATGAATTTAAAACGTATTTTAAAATTAGTTTTAGTATCTACCTCACTCTCTGCGATTTTTAACAAAACTGAAGCATTTAACTCCTTTTTATAAGGGAAACTGACAACTTCAATAAGCAAGAATAGTCTAGATCTTGCAGTTTTGTTTCACCTTGTCTTGATTTTGCACAATTTCCAAAGACCGAGACAACTATACTTACACAACCAAGATCAAAACAAAATAAAAAAGACCAATACTAAGAATAAGACTTATTAGCAAGATTCTAACAAAATTATCACTTAAATTTACAAAGTATAATAAAAATTTTACATAAACAAACGACGTTATTATTATAAATTTTATTGCCTAATTTCTTTTTAAAGCTGAATTTGTTGTTCATTCGTGATCCCCAGAAAGTTTTTATAAATAAAAGTCCGACTTGGCAGTGGAAATTTATTTAACGGTGTATCGAAAAGGTACCTTTTCACACTTTCAAATTCTCTTGATTTTGCACAGCAAACTCACTTACAAATTTATAGTCGATTGACAATAGTTGTTTTACAATAAACAGATCTCTCATCAAGCACACATTCAACTTCTTACAATGACACTGTTTCTGTCTTCTTGCTAATTATTCTACCAACCTAATTTACAATTTTCGCTGCCAACTTTAATTGAAATTTAATGAAATATAAAACTAAACAAAAACAAAAACTAGTGTGAAGTTAATTCTTCTCAACATGAATAGTTTGACGAATGCCCTGCAATAAAATAAAAAAAATAAAGGATGCATGTAGATACTTTTGGTATTACCAAAAGTTACGGCTTAAGCAAGCAATTCTGGTTTATTGTCAAAATAAAGAATTTTTACAAAAGGATTGCAAAGCGTTACAGCAAGCTTACAAGATATTCTGGTTAATTAATATGTTATCATCAAAATCAGAAAGCATGGGCTAATAAGACATTGTAGAAGGATATGAAGGCTTTGTCAGATCCACGAAATGTAATTTGTAATAATGACGAAGCTCTTTAAGTACTAAAAATATACATATACAAATCACTTATATGGAATCACATGAGAAAAACAAATTCAATCAGTGAATAGTACTCCATTCGAGATGTTTTTAAAGAATTATAAAATAAAAGATATCGTTTGGTACACTGTTTAATCGAATTCTTCCTAACAGTCTTTATTATTCTCGAAAATTTTCGAACTTCTATTGTCAAGTGGCAAATATGTGCCACTCACGGTACGATTTATTACCCTGAACGTTTAATACAAAGGTAACCGACCATCCATCAGTCCCTACCTGTACGAGGGTGGATTGATAAGTTTCCGGCCTAACCAAGAGATGACGCCACTAGGCCTACCTTGAGGTGACATTCTATAGTACCATCCTTGGATAGCTTGTAGCTATAGTTTCAGCCCGATCTCCTTGCTAGTGTAGGTTTGACAGCACGCTGAACAAGACGCCTCTGTGGTTTTCGTAAAAATGGAAAAGCAGGAAAATCGTGCTGTCATCAAATACTTTTATTTGAAGGGGTTAACGCCGAAGGAAATTAAAAAAGAGATGGACTCAACACTGGGGACATCCTCCCCGTCATATTCAACCGTTAAGCAGTGGGTTTCCGAGTTTAAAAAGGGTCGTGTGAGCACCTCTGATGGGCCTCGCTCAGGACGCCCCGTTGAGGTCACAACTCCAGATATGATCGAAAAAATTCATCAAATAGTGCTGGGAGACCGCAGATTGAAAGTGCGTGAGATAGCTGAGACCTGTAAGATGTCATATGAACGTGTGCAACATATTTTGCACCAACATTTGCATATGGAAAAGCTCTGTGCAAGATGGGTGCCGCGTTTGCTAACAGTCGACCAAAAATTGATTCGAAAAAACATTTCTACCGCAAATTTGTCATTGTATAAGCGTAATCCAAGCGAATTTTTGCGTCGATTCGTAACCGTTGACGAAACGTGGGTCCACCACTACACTCCTGAAACCAAAGAACAGTCTAAACAGTGGATTGGACCAGGGGAACCAACTCCAAAGAAGGCAAAAACAATTTTTTCGGCGAACAAGGTTATGGCTACTGTTTTTTGGGATGCAAGAGGTATTATATACATTGATTACCTTGCAAAGGGTAATACTATCACTGGTCAATACTACGCAGACTTATTGCAACGTTTGAGCCACGAGGTGAAAATTAAACGACCTCATCTGGCGAAGAAAAAAATCTTGTTTCATCACGATAACGCACCAGCGCACACGTCAATCGTTGCGACGGCTAAAATCAACGATCTAAAGTTTGAATTGATGCCGCACCCTCCTTACTCTCCAGACCTAGCCCCGAGTGACTATTTTCTGTTCCCTAATCTCAAAAAATGGCTTGGCGGTAAGAGATTTGCGGACAATGAAGAAGTAATCGAAGCTGTAAATGGTTATTTTGAGGAGCTTGACGAATCAGTCTATAGAGATGGCATTAATAGACTGGAACACCGCTATGAGAAATGTATCAGCCTTGGAGGAGATTATGTTGAGAAATAAAAAAAAAAAATTTTTAAAAACCTTGTTTTTCTTGGTCAGGCCGGAAACTTATCAATCCACCCCTGTATACTCAAGAACCGTCGAAAATCAACGTATTGATTACCCCGTACGAGCTCTTGCAAATACGTAAAATACCAATACTGTTTTAAAAGAATCACAAGTACAGCAGCAATTTTAAAGTGCAAGATACATGTCAAATATCTGAAGAAATGCATATTTAATAGATGCAAGGGATCTCCAACCTATACTGATTGTGGTTGGATAAATCAACAAAGCGTGTACGAATTTAAATAGTTTGATGGCCCACAATTATCGTCAAGAATTAAAAATGTTCTATTAAATAATAAAGAATCTGAAGGTAAAATATTCAAGTGCTACATCATATATACGTAATACTCGTTGTGCAATAATTTTTATAAAAATATTAATTTATGTTTTAGATGATGCAGCAGATAAATATGGCAAGTATATACTTTAAATTGCTTATATCAGCAACGATGAGTCAGATTGTAAATGTTAATAAAACTCCTATTTTGTTGACCCTGTACTGAGAATAATATTTTTCTTAAGCACTATATGATCAATAGTTAACAAATGTCGTAGTTAATAATTTATTGATATTTGTAATTCATTAGAAGTATAAACGACTACAAGATTTTGTTTTGATTAAAAATCAGTGTTCTGCATTAGGCATGTGCTTGTCACATATTAAGGAAGACTTCTACAATAAAATAGTTATCCTTAATCCTTAATTATCCTTATCATTTTTTATTTTCATTACTGGCTCTGAGACTTTACTTAATTTGACCGAAATTCAAACATTTTGTTTTAAAATAAAAGCTTTTCCAAATGCGTTAATTTTCTGGTTTTCGCGACTAACAAATGATCTCTGATAGTCCGTGCATAATGCACGTTTATCTTTCCGGAAACAGTAATTTACATTACGTACATCCCGAGTTAAAACAAAACCACTTTTGCGTTGCATTATAGACTTTGAAGATTAGCTGTAAAATTGATTTTGCGGAATTGCCCTGGCTCAACTAAATTTGCAAACTATTTAGTAGAAAACTTCATATCTATCTCGAGAATTCAAAGTTTCCATCCTGAGTGTGGACTGAATATTCATTTCCTCAAACCGAATTACAAACAGATGCAAATGTTTTCAATTTAAAGTAGTATTCTCCGTTCTATATTCCTCTCAAATTAATTTAATTTATTGACTTTTCGTAGATTTTTGTTACACTTCTTTAAGTACCGAATTAAACCAATCAAAGATCTCTGCGATTCAAATAAAATGAATTTCAACCAAAAATATATCTCATTATTATTTAATACAGTAGATGAATAAAGGAAAACCTGAATCATAGAACTAATTAGTTATGAACAGTCTTGGTATTGGTCTTGGTTTTGTTTTATATTAAAAGAGAAATAAATGAAATCCATAGTTTCTTCTATTCCAATTGTTTTCTAAGAATTTTGGATTATAGGCATTTATTAGCACATTAAAATATCTTGTAGTTTTGAGTTTTACTCAACTTGTCGTAATTCAAAGAATTTCTTAGTTCCCTGCTAAAGCTACGATAAGTAGTGATTTGGCAGGTGCAGATATCAATTTGGAACTTCAAAATTCCATGGACTATGTATGACATAGAAACCGGAAAATAATATCGATCCAATATTTTACCTTATCAATTTTCAAGGAATTTAGATATTTTTGGGCTCTCTTCAGTTAAACAATTAGAAGGCATTCATGGAATGTTTTTTTGTTATCTTTTTAAGCTTCCAATACCTTCAATGGCCAATGTGATCAACTTTCATTCATCATTTTATATAATGTTTGATGGTTGATACTAGGAAAAGTTTTAACGGCAAAAATGTATTTATCATTGTACAAATAGAAAATACGTTTGGAAAAGTATCTTAAATAAAATACAAAATGCTCTCAAAAGAGTATTTAAATGCAAGATAAACATAAGTTTTTCTTATTTTGTATTTGGATTTTAAATGCAAGTACCTATATCAAATAAATCACATCTCTGCTACTACAATATTGCATTCTATTACTACGTTTCCATCTACCAAAACTATTATGTACCACGTAGACAAGCCCAAAGCGGCCATTTTGGCAGTACCCCGAGCGCCTTTGTATTATTGTAACATCAATCACAGATGCCGCAGCGGCAGGAAACAATAATAATTACTGATGTAAATTTGGGATCGTGTTGATTTATCAATGCAAAATGCATACGAAAATACCAAAAAGGTGCCAAAAGTCTTACAACAGTGATTAAGTAAACTGTCAATCTGACGAAGAATTAAAAAAGAGATCACTGTGTGATTTATTCGCTGCTAATATTATTATTATTACAGTAGAAGAAAGGAAAAAAGAAGATGGCAAATGAAAGATGTAATTCTAAATTATTTTAAATTGGTACTTACTGACTAATGTTGTGTAAGGTATATTCGACTTGTTGAAGTAAGGAGCAGCGCAAGCGTCTTCAGAGCGTTTCGTCTGAGCCCCCACTTGGACCTCGACAACGTAGATATCCCGCCGTTGGAACAGCATACACATAAAACCACTTTCACTGGAAAGAAAATTACAATCAATAAAAATTGCCGGTATAAAAAAGGAGAGAAATAAATCGAAACGTCTGTACTTAAGTGATGAAATTGAGGATGGAATCTAAAAGGGTATATTTTAAAGCGCATTTTCTCTTCTGCTCTTTCCGCTTTTTTCTTTTAAAATTAATGCGTCCGGTCAAAGGAAGAGAGAAGTAAACCTTCACGGACAAGGATAAATATTTGCTGTTTGGGATACATGTATGTACATGCCTGGCTTCAGCCGATATTGAATTGTGAGGATTTCAAAAAAGGAATAGGATTCACAGAAAATAAAAAAGTGTTAGTTACTTTGAACGTACGCATATCTTCAAATCCTACTCTATATCTTACCTATTATGTTACTCAGAAAATAAGTAATGAGTGGCGCCTCTGGGATCTTGGACTCTATCGAATTGCAATGGAAATTGCTAGTGCCTCTGCTCATAGAAGCCCATTCCACAAAACAGATTTAACTATGCTGGTAGGGGTTGTAAATTAAACCCATCTACTTTATTGTAATTGTTTAAATACGTCGAATACGTCAAAATTAGACATTTTTATTTTATAATTCTCATTAAATGATAACTTTCTGGATATACACAAGTAGACCCAAGGAAACTTATCTTTCAATTAGACATTTCAATAGTCAGCTACTTTCTGAATGTTGTAATATTGGCTATTCCAGTTATTCCGACCTTAGTTACGACGCAAAATAGTGTTTTTTTTTTTAAAGTTTAATAAAGTTGGATGAAATCTTATAAACTTTTTTGATATTTTTTAAAATGTTTAACCAAAAAGTGATGTTTTTGGTCATGACCAACCAAGTACACCAGACCATATGTATTTAGGTACGTAGTCAGAGAAGAAGTGATTCCCTACGAATGAAGATCATATCGATTTGTGCCTTTGGCAGGTGGTTTACAGCTTTTCAGTTTTACCAAACGTGTGAAACATTAGAAAAAGTCGGAGTTCGGGTCCCGTTGCATAGTTTCTTCTGCTGATCGTAGCAATAAAAGTTTGTTGCCAATAGAAAATCGCGAATTTCTCAAAAACTACAAATTTAGAAATGCCGCTGGGTTTTCTCGGTAAAGTTCAAGTAAACGTTTAAAAATCCCATCTCTTTCCTAAATTTAGTTTCGGTGTACACAGAAAGAAAGGAAAGGAATATGTATTTGACTCAAACTTTCGGCAATATCGTGGATTGCGCAAAAATAAAGAAACATGTTTTGAAGTCCTTATAACTTAACGCTTTCTCGCGGTATAACAATTCAAATAGGAAAACATTTCTAGAGTTTTATTTTCTGTAGGCGCCATAATTTTCAACTTAGTACTTTACCTATCTTTTAATTCCTCATCATCATCATCAGAAGGTCATCAGTCCTAAGACTGGTTGGACACGCACCTCCACTCTTTCCTATCCTGAGCTAATCTTCGCATTTCCTTAAAATTACTCATTCCCGACTTTTCCTTCCCTTGCATACCGGCATTTTCGTTTTACTTTTATTTATTTTCATACAGTACTGTTTTATCAATACTGCTTCCCTTTTATTTAAAGCTCTTAACTCCTCCTTGCTAGATGCTAGTACTGCTATATCATCTGCAAATCCAAACATATTAATCTTTTGCCCCTGTATATCTATCCCTACAGTTGTACTGTCTTTAATGATGTTGATCTCATTTTCAATGTATAGATTAAAAAGTAGCGGCGACAGTGTGCATCCCTGCCTGACTCCCTTCCTAATATTTACTTCACTACGTTGCAGCCCTAGCTCTATAACTGCCTGTTGCTCTTTATTAAGTATCACATTTCTTTCTCTATAACTCATCCCTACATTTTTAAGTATATTTAATATTTTGTTAATTACCTATTAGAAAATATGAAAATCTAAAATAAAATACACTGGGGCCTAAAAAGGTCATGCATGCGCATATTTACCTCTGAAATTATAACTGCTACAGAGGTGTATTAAAAAAATCAAACAACAACAGGCAGACAGACGTGTCAGTAATTCCGTGAGAATTAATTTTTTTTTTTAAAAAAACAATGAAGCAAATTATGTTAGAAAACTATTTTGTGTTCATTAAAAATCCGACTTAATTTTGTGGACACAGCAAACGTTTTCGCTAAAAAAGTTATTGTTATTGTTCAATTGTTCTTTTCGCAGACATCAGAGAAAATTTGCGAACCTTTTGTCCGTTTGACAAAAACTAAAAGGAATAATAATTTTGTGTTGTCGTACAATATTCCTTGAGAAAGAATTTCATCAGCGATTCAATTATGCCGAGGATTCTTTTATCTATCAAAAATACTTTTAGGATTCAGAACTGTTGAAGACGAAATGAATTCTGCCTCTGAATATTAAAAGATAACATCGTTGTAGACAATAAATGCTGAGATAAAAGGCGATGCCTTTTTAAAGTCGTGTTTTCATTGTATAAAACGTAGTTACATTTATAACTTGTAGGTGTTCTATAGAAAATAAATAAGTATATTTAATTGTCATGGTTATAGTTTTCCATGTATTCCATCAAGAAGATATTATTTGAATATTTTTCACAGAATTCAAGAAAACCAAAAGTTAACCCGCAGTATGAATAAAAAAAAGTAAACTAAAAACTTTTGGGTATTTCAAGTCACCAGCCAGCAATGCTGGTGGGCGGGCAGTCCCTCCAGACTACGCCGGAAAGTAGGGCGGAAGGAATCATAGGAATGGGTGGGTGGTGGTTCGGGTGAGAAAGATGAGTCGGACGAAATGAAGACAGAAGAGAATAAAAGATTATCTGTGCCTCAGCATTTGCCTGAGTGATCCAAGGAAACCACAGAAAATCTTGGACCAAGGCCGACAGACCCGTAATCGAACTGGCGTCCTCCCGAATGCTAAGCAATGGTCTAAACCTCTAGGCAGGCAATGCCGCTCGGTTAGCATGGATGATAAATTTCTTTCCCTATGGACATCTGAACTGTTAACGTCGATGACACCATTTTATTATTCCAGTACATATTATGAAATTTCCGTATGTCTTTTCGACTTGAGAAGACAAACAAAACAAGTCAAAATATTCCGAAGAAAGTACGAAGACCAATATTTATTAAAACGGATTAAATGTACTTAAGAAATTAAAAACGAAGTCATGAATAATGACAAGATCTAGACACGGGTTGGTCAACCTAAATGATCCTGCGGGCCACTTTGGAATTAAATCATATCATAAATTATTAGATGGACATTATTTTGATTTATAACTGTAAAATCATTAACAAAACAAGCAATTTTTGTCATATATTCACAAGAATATTGCTTTGGAGGAAAAGTAATATGATTACACAAATAATGATTTTTGGATGAGGCTATTCACTGGTGGTACCGTACCGGTGACTAAGAAGCTAATCAACGGTACTGTACCGGCAACTAAGGAGCTATTCACCGGTACCCAAACGTTGTATGAAATATTGTTCAATAGTGTGTTATGTTATCCATAGAACATCTTTCTTGCATGGTTTATAAGACTATAAGAATAATAAGCGTAGTGCATTTAGATTTTGAAAATCGTTTAAGGTATTGCATAATACCGGTGAATACTTTTTCTTAGTCACAGGTACGGTACCGGTGAATAATTCACAAGTCACCGGTAAAGTACCAGTGAATAGATATGTACATCGATTTCTTTAGTACATTGGTTTTTACTACTTTAGTCACTACAAAACAAATATATTTTGCAAAACTATGATGAATTTCATGGGCCGGAAAAATATTCAAGGCGGGCCGTGGGTTAGCCACCCCTCTGATTTAGATTGTACTGTAAAACTAAATTAAGTTTTCCAAGTAACCCCCCGGGAAATTGAACAGGAAATTTTCTACCCGATAAACTTCGAATGAAGAAAATATTGAAATAGAAACTGAGAAAAATAAATTATGCAGTTTTCTTAGACTTCAATTTTCATAATTTAGCAATCTCTAAAGGTACCGCTCTGACGGCGTTTCGCCTCGGAATTCTCTCGCAAGTTTAGTTTAGAAAATAACCAATCAGAAATTGGTTAAAAACGTTATGGAACGCGTGGATTATTATTATAAGTAACGTAATTGATTAAAATTATACAGTAATTATTGGACGAGTTGTTTAATTTGAATAAACTTTGCGTATTGTATCCATTTGGAGGTTCATCAAAGGAAAACAAAAATGAGAGAAAGAAATTCCCTATTTAGATTCTCATTGATTATAGAGCGAACTCGTTGGAATAAACAAGCTAGTGAAAAAGTATAAATCGGTTTAAAGTGAACTCGGCACCATTAATCACGACCCCGTAGGATAAGAGAAAAGAACTCTAGGGTTCAAATTCATTTTCGTTCCGTTCAAACACCGACACCAGACGTCCGACCGTGTTCGTCGGTCGGTCGGTCGGTTGTGAAATCAAGCGAGCGGCCAGACTGCAGCTATTTCATTAAAATAATTAGTTGCCGGTTTTGTTTTTTGAACAGAACCGCATCGTTCGTTTCTCCCCAGCTCACTCTCTATCTCTCTGTGTAGTGTTTCGGCGGAAGTTAAACGCCTCAACTTCGCAGACTGCGATTCCAAAGACGAACATCAATATTCATCAACTTCGGGGCACCGCTTGTCGGATAGTTTCCATCAACTACTTTTTAAAGCTGCGCGTAGACGACATTCAAGTGGTTTTCGCGTAAAAATTGTCTGACGTAACCAAATCAAAAGAAAAAATTAAACGTTATGCGACAAGCGGAATATATTGATATAATAATTAATTAAAAAGATACCATTCAGAAACCATTACAAATTTTTCAGTGAGAAAAATACGTTAAAGCTAAATTAAATACATTTAAAATAAAATTGTTTTGTTGGAAATATATCATAATATTTAAACTAGTCAAGGAGGAGTGGTTATATAATAATAATCATAATGAATAAAATTATTCAAACTAGGTTTTTTGAAGATAACTTACTCTATTAAATTTAGTCCTCAAACAAT